TAACACTTCTGTAAACTGTTTTTCAGCTACATGTGCAAGGTGAGTCTGAAGTGAGGCAGGCTTCACACGTATACCAATTTAAGAGATTTGCAGAACAGCAGTTCTCTAAAACCAGATCTACTGATCACCTCTGGTGCTCCTTTCTCTACAGCACACAACCTTATTTTCCTACTAAACATTTTTTTGGTACCATTTAACCATCTTCTGTGTTCAAAACACATTACACAATCTGCACTTGGAAAAAACAAAAACGTTGTCAAGCTAAGTAAATATTTAATCACTGAAAAGAAAGGAGTGATGCTGTTTCCCTAGACCACAAACAGATTTGACCGACCTGCAGGATCTACAAACATTCATTGAACTAAATAATTCAGTGGAATGGCCCCTGAGCAAGCAGGCTTTCAGTTGAACAATAACTACCACTGTTAATGTTATCTTTGTACCAGAGTGCCATTAATTGAAGTGGAGTTTTTTCTAGTTCCTACTGCACAGTATTGCCAGAGGATGGCAGGGCTTTACTATCATTGACTGACATGCTTGGCAGAGTTACCGGGTATGTGAAAACTGGAAATACCGTAAATAATTCAATTGTCAAATACTGTAAATAACTGAATGTCACATGTACTTTGGGTAAAAGATAATCATGTCATGTAACTCTGTGATGACTCATTACTTGGGTCAGACTAGAGTCAACACATTTGTTTTCATTTTCTGGTGATTTGCATAGTCATTTGTTGATGACATTCAAAGGTGATAATGCCACATTCAGCAATATTTTAGCTATATGACATTCATGTGTAAATAATCAAGTCTGGACCACCTGATCAAGTGACTGACATCATGAGCATTCATTGAGATATGACAAATGTATCAACCAAGTTAGTGAGTCTGACCACCTCATCTGTTCAGACCACTTTCATAAAGCAGAGATGCCAACCCTGAATCTAAGGAAAACGGAGTCATGACTGGCTGAAAGCCATGCCTGAGCACCAAAGGTGCAAATTGGGGGTGAGCGTGTTGTCGCTCTGCTATTTTGTTTCACTTTCATATGGACTATGACATGTATATGGAAAAACTTTGCGAAACTTCATTGTCAATAAAAATAAATTCAGAATTTGTTCTAAAAAATCGAAGTTTTTAAAGAGAAATCGGAGAGCAGATTTTGTATTTCTTTGAGTGGCATTTCTTCTTTGAGTGGCATTTTAGAGGCTGAGAAGTACAAAATTGACAAACTTTATGGATAACAACTTCTTTCTTACGAGAGTGTGACGTTTTGATACAGATTCTTGTACCGTTGTCAAGCAGGAATGTAACACACATATCCATAAAGTTTGTCAGATTTTGTATTTGAAAATCGGAGTGTTTGGCATCTCTGATAAAGGACAAGACCCATGAAGATGTGGGTTAGAATTGGTCGTCTGCAACTCATGTTTGTCTTAAGAGGTGACTAATGGGATCGGGTGGTCAGGCTCGCTGACTTGGTTGACACATGTCATCTTTACCCAATTGTGTAGATTGATGTTCATGATGTTGATCACTGGATTGTCTGGTCCAGATTCGAGTATTTACAGACCGTCGCCATATAGGTGGAATATTGCTGAGTGTGGAGTTAAACAACTAACCAACCATAAGGGACAGGCATGGGAGCTGAAGACCGATTCACCCCCGGATCACATGGTTCATACCACCGGAGCTGATTACTGTAACTCATGATATTACTGACTGACTGATCCCCATGAGTTTGGTTTTATGCCGCTTTTAGCAATATTCCAGCAATATCACGGCGGGGGACACCAGAAATGGGCTTCACTCATTGTACCCATGTAGGGATTTGAACCCGGGTCTTCGGCGAGACGAGCCAACGCTTTAACCACTAGACTACCCCACCGCCCCTCATGATATTAATGTGTCACCAAATTAATGTGAGTGTTGACCCCTGGCCTAAAATTCATTATGAAATTAATTATTGTAGTCCAAAATTAGCACTAAAATTTAGAACTGAGCAAATTGGAATTCAACTAACACAATGACAGTCACAAATTTGACACTGCTTGACATACCATCTAACTTCTATAAAATCAAAAGAAAGAAATTCAAAGTAAGAAATATTCAGATGAGAGGCCGTGGTCAATGATGAAGATTGTACAGGCTATAACTATTGATACAGGAGTGTAGTGCAATCCCTCGAACTTAACACGCAGTGTTATGAATTCATCATGATTGCTGTTACTCTGCTAGGCATGTTCACTGCATGAATGTTTTTCGTGTGACTATATGACTATTTCAAACATTACCAGGAACAAAGACACCGCCATACGCCACTGAAAGACTGTCACAACAGCCTGATCAACTTGTGCACACAGACTGACTACACATGACACTGGACTGGGAGAGAAGCACTTAACAGTCTAAATCTAGCGCTCAATGACGTTATTTATCATGAGCTTTGTTTGGTATGGCATCGTTCTGCCAGGAGAACTAGACATGCAGTATACTCCTATATGTACAGATGAAAAAAACATTCATTCATTCTTTCTATATATTGTTTATATTTTTCACATTACTTTCATACTCGCATTTATTTTTTTACAGTAATTGCCAAATTGGATTTTGTTAAAGTATCTTAAATTCATGATACCGAAGAGAAACATGTCAGTCTATATGGTTTTAAGTTGCATTTAGTAGTATTCCAGCAATGGGTTTCACACATTGTACCCATGTGGGGAACTCTTCTGTATGATGTGCTTTAACCTCTGGGTACTCCCGCTGCCCTAGAGAAACAGGGAAACAATATACGACTTGGTGTTTAGTTCAGGATTTAAGGTAAACACTTCTGCCCAATTAGAGAGCAAAACAATATTATAAAATGCTGTCTTTATCATCTTAACGATTTTATGAGAGACGGTTGAGAGAATTGTAAACACATCCCACGACCAAAAATATGTCCTTGTTTGTCTTAGCTATCCCGGGCAGTCGTCATTGTTAAAGGTCATAGATAGAGCACAATCATACTTCACATATATGTATTTTATAAAGAGAATCTGACAAATTCTTTCCATAGGCTCATTTGTTTGGATTTATCTTTCACCTGAAATAGGTTTTCTTGACAAAAACCAGTGAGTGATCAATAGCACTGAGAAGCTGATAGCTGGTATTCTTGGCCATGGCTCTTATGGTAATCCTACTTTTATAGTTTTCTGTGATCAGATTTAGATGCTATATATGAATAAAACCCACTGGTTTCTTTTTCTTGTTTACCAGTGCAACTGAGAGCTGTAACATTATCTCGGTGAATGTATGATACCTTATGACAATATCAATATTAACCTTTTTACAATACTTTTAAAAATCAAAGATAAAACAATTATGGGATAAAAATGTCATGTTGAAAGAACTACAAAAGGGAAATTTAATCCTTACATTCATGCAAAGTTTTTGTTTTCATAGGTCTAAAATTCATACTAATATGGTACAAAAGTACTAAAACAATAACGATCAAACTCCTAATATAGAAATATAGCAATGATGACACTTCTATCACCATTGAGAAAATATCAGTCAAACTTTAACCATATGTGAGGTGAGGTGAAATTGGGTTTAACGTCGTGCTTGACAATATTTCGCTCATATGACGACGTGCATGCATGTGTATGAGTGGCTGCTTGTACTAGCCCAGACTTAACCTGGTTTTATAGTGCTAGCCCACTGAGATACCATGCCGCAGTGAAGCATGAATACCCCACTCAGACATATTATACTGACTCCGAGCTGACCAGTCCTTGTTGTACCCATTAATCCCAAGCGCCAGGCAGGGACCAACAAATACCATATTTTAACGTCTTTCGGTATGACGTGGTCGGGGATCAAACCCGTGACCTTCTGCTCTCTGGGCAGACGCTCTAACCACTACACCACGGAGACGGTCTTAACCATATGTAAACTACTATGTCACAAGTAAACTGAATATATTTCCAAAACACATGGGTATGACTTAGGGCTGGCTATTTAAATAGATCATATTTATCGATGTTCAAAACATATCGATAAGATAAGAAGTCTGAAAGAATTTAACATATTTCACACCTCTGGTGAGTGGTGATATGGGGCACGGTGGTTGAGCTGGCTAAGGAGCCAGGCTAGTGATCCAGTGAGGTTGAGGTGTCGGGATCGAGCCCACCTGTGACCGGGTGTAAAAGTCTTGGAGTCAACTTTGTGTGCAGACTCTTTCAGTGTTGTCACAACCCCTTGTGTATAGTACGCAACCCTGTGCACTTAAAAGAACCCACGAATCCGTTGGTAGATGACCAGATTGTGGCCACATGAATACGTGCAAACACCTAGTTGCGGGTACAGCAAGGAGCAGTGAATTTGGACAAAGTACTGTGACTATGTGTCCCAGTCCACCCAGCTGTGAATGGGTACCTCGTTAGGATGAGAAAGCCACAATAACTCGGTGCGCCTAATGTCTGCAAGAGTTGTTTACTCCCCAGGGAGTTGAGATTGATAATATGATGTGCCGTTGAAATTGGCATCCAATGATCGAGGGAAAAAATACCAGCGCCTTGAGCATGCACTAGTTACCTGGATATGTGCGCTATATAAAATATCCTATAATAAAAAAAATAATACTAATAATATGCATAGGTTACTAACGAAAAAGCACCCTTAACGTAATGTAGATGCCCAGAAGATACTTTGTGTATTGTGTGACTACATTAAAACTTGATTCTGTCATAAGTTTATGTACGATATCATCGATGACAGTATTTTCATATTGATCATCATCAACAATTTTTCCTATCGATGATATTTCTCATAATCGATCTTTTCAGCCAGCTCTAGTATGACTAAATGTTTTACATGTTTGTCAATGTGTTATAATAAACGGCACATGTGAAGATGAGGATTGATCTGTATGAGGTTTCTCCTACATATAAGTTGAACATGAAATTCATTGAACATAAAAAATCTTACAATGATGTGAACCAAAATGAACTTACCTTTTCATAAAGCGAATGGAATTCATTGTATCTTCGGAAGATGAACCATGACTGTTCGTCGGCATTGACAACCACTTTGTATACCTGCAAGGGGAGAAAACGGCATATCATGTCCAGAAATCGTCTCTTGGAGCGAAAGTTACTTTTTTTCCTTCTCCCCATTGTGAAGCAATCAATGTCCAAAACTCTGCAGTCAGTGGTCAGATGATGTGATACAGAGAACCCAAACTGTTGCTTTTATCACACAACCTTTGTCCACAGATGACAGAACAAGTCGTCATTGTCATGCGATAAATGCATCTGCTTGCAATACGAATATACACCGAGATGCCGGCGCTTCATATCCCACACAATATGTATCCATGACATATACAACATAACAGCCTCCTCCTCTCCATCCAAGTTCAACTATTGGGAGATTTAAGCATGGTGGGGAGCCTCCATCTCACTGTTTCACTGACTGCTTGTGTGTGTGTAGCTCTCTACAGCGATTGATCGAGCAAATGAATGAACTGGCATCAGCCGCTAGTGACATCACTCCGCCATTATAATACACCAGATTATGTTCTCATTAGCCAGGCATGCACGACTTCATTGAGGCGATGAGCTTGTCGACAAGGCCCTGGCCTATGGAACATAAAGTGATGTCATCTGTGACAGGTTTGACTAGAAATGGATGGAATGTATCACTCGACAAGCTGGGTCCAGTTTACTCAATCTTAACACTCAGGTGCTCAAGCGGACGGGATTTCGATATTTGGCAAGACAATACCTTTGTGTTTATTTCTGTGGTTTCTTTTCCACTGAGTTTAACACTGTCAACATTCTGTGGATTAAGCTTAGAAAGGAGATTTGGTTAATCAGCTGGCTACAAAGAAAGATAATTGTTAAGATTCAGATAGTGGTGCTTGACCTCTGTGCGATGGGCTGTTGACTTGTTCAGTACTATGTTATTTCTGTGCTGATGTCTTGATAACTGAGCCCCACAGTCTACACAACATGTAGATAAGGTTATGTCAGAGAACATTCCTCAGACCAAGTCATCAGCTGTATGGATGAACAAGGGTTACAACACAGAACAAATGCTATAGCAATACTAATGATTCGATATATAATAAAAAGAATAAAAAGAAGATGTAACCCAGAAAAAATCTCTATGTTCAATACTAATGATTGTTCCAATCATGAGATGTATGTCAGTGATCTGATTCTGCAATGTTCTGTATAGTTCTGTCTGTTTTTAAAAAATAGAACATTTGTTGCTTTTATGGTAAAAACTACTTAGATTTTTATGATAAGAAATAGCATGACATCCTCGATCAACCAGGGTATTATTATTATGACACATGAAAATGCCACGGATACCCTTGTCACCATAGCTTTGTTATGAGCTCAATCAATCTTTCACTGACAATTTCTAAATTTGATCACAGTTGTGAGTGAGTGAGTGAGTGAGTGAATGAGTGAGTGACAATTTCTAAATTTGCGAGTCATAATTTTCTTTATAGGATTAAAGTTGAGCTATTTTCCTATTTATTTTTGTACTTCAAGTGAAAATATTTTAAAGTATATTTTGGAATTATCCATTATAGGCCAATTTGAGGTCCTTGATGTTCAGGTTAGAATTTATCAGGTTGACTAGTATCCCAAATCCTGAGCAAGTGTTTCCAGAAATTTATATTGCCAAATATTCAAGAATTACTTCTCATGTAAAACCTCGAGCACAGAATTTTCAGCTTGATATCAACACTCAATCAAAATGCCTCTCCTGTGTATAATTTTTGCGTACACCTAGACTAAAAAACTGTGGCTTCATCCCAGCAAGCGATCAATGCATTTAAATGCATAACAGTACTGTTATAGATCATTTTTTTAAGGGAAAGATGGCTCCTATGAACATGGGAAGAAAGTCCTTTAGCTGCAAAACTTTCCTGTTGTGCAAGCAATGACAGAGAAACACTGAAGCTAACAATGGTGATACCACTGATTGCTCAAAGCATGAAAGATCATTGTAATTTGATTTGGAGTTTCACATGTATTAGGATTGGTTATGTAGCATAGAGGTTAAAGTGTTTGCTCATCACACTAAAGACCTGGGTTCGATTCCCCACATAGTAAGGGTTGTATTCTGGAACTACAGTCTTTAATCCTTCAATAGGCAAGATTGGCAAGGCCAATGTTTTACTACCACCCAAAACGTGACAAAAAAAAGCAGGCAACATTAACCTTTTCATGAACTCCTGGAGCTATCACAAGTGTTCAAATCATTTTCATCACTCTATTGTCTTTTGTGCCCTATGGAATCTACTTGAGACAGTTTTCTCTAGCAGTGGTATTTTGGATTTATCAATATTAAAACTTGCAACTGTACAGATAAAGGGTAATTGTAGTTTGTAACTTTTTTTTTGCTGGGATTCAAAAAGCAAAATAGCTTTACACTTGTCACAGGGTACAAAGTATGTGATCTAGAGTTGTGAGACTTCCATTTTAGTTGAAGCTGCACTGGCTGAGTGGGTTAGATCACTGACATTGTGGGCTGGCAATTAGGTATCTGATGCTGAGAATGTGTGTTTGAATTATATACTCATGTAAACTTAGGATAGTAATACAGGGGTGCAATATGGTAGTTTATTATATACCCATGTAAACTTAGGATAGTAATACAGGGGTGCAATATGGTAGTTTATTATATACCCATGTAAACTTAGGATAGTAATACAGGGGTGCAATATGGTAGTTTATTATATACCCATGTAAACTTAGGATAGTAATACAGTGGTGCAATATGGTAGTTTATTATATACCCATGTAAACTTAGGATAGTAATACAGGGGTGCAATATGGTAGTTTATTATATACCCATGTAAACTTAGGATAGTAATACAGGGTGCAATATGGTAGTTTATTATATACCCATGTAAACTTAGGATAGTAATACAGGGGTGCAATATGGTAGTTTATTATATACCAATGTAAACTTAGGATAGTAATACAGGGTGCAATATGGTAGTTTATTATATACCAATGTAAACCTAGGATAGTACACCAGGGGTGCAATATGGTAGTTTATTATATACCCATGTAAACTTAGGATAGTAATACAGGGGTGCAATATGGTAGTTTATTATATACCCATGTAAACTTAGGATAGTAATACAGGGGTGCAATATGGTAGTTTATTATATACCCATGTAAACTTAGGATAGTAATACAGGGTGCAATATGGTAGTTTATTATATACCCATGTAAACTTAGGATAGTAATACAGGGGTGCAATATGGTAGTTTATTATATACCCATGTAAACTTAGGATAGTAATACAGGGGTGCAATATGGTAGTTTATTATATACCAATGTAAACCTAGGATAGTACACCAGGGGTGCAATATGGTAGTTTATTATATACCCATGTAAACTTAGGATAGTAATACAGGGGTGCAATATGGTAGTTTATTATATACCCATGTAAACTTAGGATAGTAATACAGGGTGCAATATGGTAGTTTATTATATACCCATGTAAACTTAGGATAGTAATACAGGGGTGCAATATGGTAGTTTATTATATACCCATGTAAACTTAGGATAGTAATACAGGGGTGCAATATGGTAGTTTATTATATACCCATGTAAACTTAGGATAGTAATACAGGGGTGCAATATGGTAGTTTATTATATACCCATGTAAACTTAGGATAGCAATACAGGGGTGTAATATGGTAGTTTATTATATACCCATGTAAACTTAGGATAGTAATACAGTGGTGCAATATGGTAGTTTATTATATACCCATGTAAACTTAGGATAGTAATACAGGGGTGCAATATGGTAGTTTATTATATACCAATGTAAACTTAGGATAGTAATACAGGGGTGCAATATGGTAGTTTATTATATACCCATGTAAACTTAGGATAGTAATACAGGGTGCAATATGGTAGTTTATTATATACCCATGTAAACTTAGGATAGTAATACAGGGGTGCAATATGGTAGTTTATTATATACCCATGTAAACTTAGGATAGTAATACAGGGGTGCAATATGGTAGTTTGTTATATACCCATGTAAACTTAGGATAGTAATACAGGGGTACAATATGGTAGTTTATTATATACCCATGTAAACTTAGGATAGTAATACAGGGGTACAATATGGTAGTTTATTATATACCCATGTAAACTTAGGATAGTAATACAGGGGTGTAATATGGTAGTTTATTATATACCCATGTAAACTTAGGATAGTAATACAGGGGTGCAATATGGTAGTTTATTATATACCCATGTAAACTTAGGATAGTAATACAGGGGTGCAATATGGTAGTTTATTATATACCCATGTAAACTTAGGATAGTAATACAGGGGTGCAAACGGATGGCATGGTCAAATTCCGTATTGCACCCCAGATTCCGTATTGAACCCCTGCCGGTTGTTTTATTAAGTAACAGATTCATGCAAGATAAGAGGGTATATAGTAAACATAGAACGTTATACTAGTGCATTTGGATGTGTTGTATTGAAGAAGAAGATGTCATGGGAGCAGAGAAACAAACTCGTTATTCGAACTCGTTTCTCTGCTCCCATGACATCTTCTTGTTCAATACAACACATCCAAATGCACTAGTATGATGTTCTATATATATAGTTCTAATATGGGTTTCCTATAGATTGCTGAACTCCTGTAAACCACAACGTTTAAGTAGTTATACATACTGATTCCAGATACAAGTTATTTCATATCTAGCAGTATGATCAAGGAAAATGTATGAAACACATTCATTGCTCAAACGCTTTCCTCTCATCAATAGTTTGGGTGACAAACAGAATATGACAGTTTACCATACATTTTTAGGAACAGGGTTATGTTTTCATTAAATTCATGTAACTTGTATGTGCAGCACATCTATCTAGATTACTGGTCATGCATTATACATGTGTGAGTGTGGTTCTAGAAATATCCAGGCCCCGTTATTAATGATAAACCAATTAACCAGAAAATACATACAGTTACCCAGTATTGAGAGAGCAACCAATCAGTACTAAGGAAATATGAGGCAATATGGATTATCAGTCCTTAGGG